TATCGGTGGGTAAGGAAGATGTTAATGACGACGATACATAATGAAGATGTTAATGATGATATATTAGGAAGATGTTAATGATGATAAGGAAGACGTTAATGATGGTACGTAATGAAGATGTTAATGATGATATATGAGGGAGATGTTAATGATGATCTGTAATAACGATGTCAATAATGATATATAAAATAAAATTGTTAATGGTTATGATCCAATTATTCATTTTATTTTTCCTTTTCACTGATTCAGACCTACTGATTCAATTTTTTGGCAAATTAGTTCTGGGTGCAAGTGTAGCAGGGTGTAAGTCATTCTCAGACTACTTCTCACTAGCGAAAATAAGCGATTCCTGACGATGAAACTTTATCAGTTAATAGAAGCGTCTTTTCTTCTGGAAATAAAATGCCGGACGGTTCGAGGGCTGAGTAGGGAAGTATGGTAGCTCGATATGTTAGGAATAGCTCAGAGGTGAGAAGCTGGAGTGTTGTAAGGGAAAATGAGTACTGAAAAAATACACTGAATCATTGCAGTTATACTTAAACTGCCAAAATTAGGCTCCAAAGTACTAAAATCCAATCGATCCTAAGCTGCATGATACCAAATCGCTTGGAATGTTTCATGCATTCATTGGACAGACAACATTTTAACATATATTTTAGGTCAAATAACGAATAGACAACATGTGCAGATGTATGTCTAGTGCTCTTATATATTCCCTCCGCTCGCATTGTTCTGCTTGTGTTTACAGCTAAGGGATGAAACACAGACTGTCTGTTTCACACTGCTGCCTTTACAGGTGCAATAATGCTCTATTATCTCTGGAAAACTGATCATTGCTATGCATAGAGCTTTCTGGAGGGAAGGAGGGGAAAAACCACATCAAAACTGATTTACTTTTTGCGGTATAATGATTGGAGAGAATGCAATCTGTCGCTTCAGCGCATCGTACAGGCTGCAAGCAATACCTTCACCCAACAGGCCACAGTCCATTGTTTCAGTGATTAATACATCAATCTAAATTCACTTTTATCCACGGACTACACAAAACAAAACAAAATTAAATTTTTGGATACCACACTGTGGGAAATTGGGCTAATTATACGTTTTCTACAGAAAAAGAATTTGCTTTAAAACGGAGTGAGGGAGGGAAGTACTGTTCAACAATGGGCAAAAGGATATATCAGAACGCTCCTTGTTCCTTGACAAAACGCTGGCAGATAAAAATTACCGGAAAGAACATTTTTTTGGACTCGTAACTTTCACATTTCTTCAAGCTGATTTGTCTGGACACACACACACGTACACAGATACGCAGACAAACACACACACAGATACACACACAAACACGCATTACACACACGCACACATAAAAACATACGCGCACACCCTATGTACACTTATACAAACACAAAAAGGAATTTTTGTTTGGCAATAATGTTTTTCTGCACAAACCAAAACACAAAAGAAAAACGCGAAAAAGGGGAAATAACCGGAAATAAGCAGCAATGCGATCAAGGATCAGGATGAGCATGCCGTCTTTTTGCAAAATTCCCTTCATAAGGGAGATTTATATATATAAGGGCTAAACTGCACTTAATAAAGCCATATCTGCCTAGCAGACTGATGTTTGGGCCCTGAATTATTCCAAAAAGTACAGAAATCATAGTTTCATCTTTCTAGCTTTTCTGGT